GCTGCTTTCCCTGGTGGCAGCACTGTGGCACCTGCACCTTGGGAGGGAGGCTGTGACAGCAGGGACAAGTGGAGTTGGACCACAGAGCGGCACAGAACCATGCCAACATTCAGGTGTAGCACAGTGAGGGGGTTCTCTGTGACCCTGATCATCGGGAGAGTTCAAGTCCTCTTCGACATCCTCTTTTAAAGATGGTACCCATTTTAGAGCAGTGAGAATCTGGGGAGACCTTTCCCCTGGAAACCTGCTACCAACTACTCCCACGTCCACATAGCACTTTGCATAGAGTTTCAGGGAGTTGGCAGAGACCCTAGGTCAGAATCAGTACCTATAAGGATTGTTTGTATAAAACTGTCAAAAAGAAGGGCAAGAAGGGTTGTCATTTAAAGACTTGATCTGCATTCATCTGGAAAATTAAGTGGAGCCACTCACTCTACAACTATACTGGCTGGATGAGGACTGTGCGGTGCAGCTGTGGGCATAAGTGTCACAGCCAGAGTTTGGAAATCCCATTTTGTGTGAGAGGCCCTTGTGGGCCTGGTTCTGCACCAAGACGTGACATGGGGGTAGGGAGTGAGGGAGGGGAGTGGTCCTGGCTTCACTGATGCATTTCCAGCTGTGTTAAGAGTCACTGCACTTTTGGGTTTCTCTGCGCTCATATTCAATATCCGGGGTTGGACAAGCTGGTGGTTCTCACACAGTTTTGTGTGAAGCCATAGAATTCCAGAAAGGGGCCTCTGGAGTGCATGAGGGAGCCCACCACCCTTTGCCTGGAGCAGCTCTGAGCTCATCTGTTGACCATGGGGTGCCCTGGAAAATTATCCTTTAAATTAGTATTCAGCTGCTTAAAAAAAACAAATGTTTGATGAGCTTGGTACTGAATTATCTTTACTCTCTCCTCTGCTCCAGAATTCTGCTGGTGTCCAAGGAGATTAAGCTAGAAAGGGGACAGCCACGTCACAAAGCTTGGCCTCCAGGCCAGGGTACTTGGCTTGGCCCTATAACCTTAGGAAGTACTTGGAGCTGAGTTCCCACTGTGTCAGCCAAGCAGGGGAAGGAGAACTTGCAGCTGTAGGGGAGGTGGGCATATGCTACGCCCTCTACTGCACAGGGCAGAGGCCAGAGACTGGAAGACGAGGGGGAGGCTGGCCTTACAGGTTTGCTTGGGAATCTTCAGATGTCTAATGGCAAGCCTTGTTAATAAACACAAACAAACTTATACATACGACATTTAAGCATGCATCTCCCAAATATATATAAACATTTATGTATTATAAATTATACATAATATGTCTATGCTAATATTATGGACAGTATAAAACAAAATAGATTTTGAAAGATGAGAAGCATTAAAAGACCTGCTGCGTAGAGAATCATCTTGCATGCCTACTGAGGTCTGTACCCACTTTGGAGACGACCAGAGTAGTTGGAGGGTATTGGGCGTCTGAAGGAGTCTGGTGGAGGTGAAAATGGAGGAAAGGAAGTAGCAATGTTTCCCAAACAGCAGTCTGCACCACATTCCAGCTCTTTTTTTTCTTTTTTGAAACAGAGTCTTACTCTGTCACCCAGGCTGGAGTGCAGTGGCCCAATCTCAGCTCACTACAACCTCCACCTTCTGGCTTCAAATGATTCTTGTGCCTCAGCCTCCACAGTAGCTGGGATTACAAGCACCCAATACCACACCTGGCTAATTTTTGAGACAGGGTTTCACCATGTTGGCCAGGCTGATCTCGAACTCCTGATCTCAAGGGATCATCCTGCCTTGGCCTCCCAAAGTGCTGGGAGGCATAAGCCTCCACCCCTCAGCCCACATTCCAGCTTTTTGCCATATCCATATGCTGTCTGCACTGCTGTTTACTGGATAGCTTTCTTAGAATTGACTCACTTGGTTTTTTTCCCCAAAATTTAGCCTTATTCTAAGAACTAATATCCACAGAAGGCATTCTGTGCAGCTAGAATTTTCTTCTAATGCACAGTGAAATAAGTACAAAACTATTCATTTGTCCACACACCACTTAGAAAGCATCTGCTCGTTCCTACCTGTGTGATGGGGCCTGCCCTGTGGACACTCTGATCTTTGGCATCTGGCTTCAATCAGATGGGAGGGAGGGAAGGGGGATGGTGAGAGTAAACCTAGCAGAGGGCCAGGGCCCATGTGGATATGGGGGTGCTCCTCCATGCCAGGGGGTGCCTGCAGTTGCAGTCAGACCTAACAGCCAGGAGCGTCTCATGGGGCATGAGATATCTCCCCACGAGAACACTTTGAGCCCACATTGATTGCAGACTCTGTCAGGCAATGGCCACCCCGCCTCACATCACAGCTACCATGAATCATTGCCAGCCAGGCCTGCTGCCAAAACTTCTTGTGTTGGGCTAAATTAGTCATTTATTTATCACTTCAAGAGATACTTATGGTATACCTACTTTGTGCCAGGCACTGGATTAGACACTAGAGACAGTAGAGAACAAGACACATACAACAGCTACAAAGCCCCTGTTCTAGTGGAGGAAGACAGGCAGTAAAGAAGCAAAACAAGAGAGAATGTAAGAGCCAAGTCATTATAAATGCTTTTAATATAAAGTAAAATCAAGGTAAGGGGGAGGAAGGACAAATCTCCTCTAGCGAAGAATGCCAGATAATTTATGAGATATGCAAAGAGGCTTCAGAACCTAATGCCCCATTCTGTAAGTGTGGCCTGTGTTTACTGACTTTCTTCCACAGAATGTGGTATGGGAGGAGGAGGAAAAGTTGATTCACGGTGGCAAAAGCTGACGAACTGGAGAGTAACATCAACAGACATAAATCATATTGATAGTATGTGCCCTCGTATTATGTGATGAGAAGGATACTTCCCCTCTATGGTCCTCCTCCTCAAAACCTGTAACCCCACTCTAAATAGCAGAAAGATGTTGGACAACCCCAGATTAAGGGACTCTTGAGAATCCCTGACCAGTACTCCTCAAAATGTCCAGGTCATGACACAAGCAAGGACAGTCTGAGAAATGTCACATCCAGGGGAACATAAGAATGAAGACTCAATGTAAAGGGGTCCCAGAAAAAAGACATCAGGAGAACTAATGAAATCTGCACCAAATGTGGAGTTTAGTTAAGAATAATTTTTAAAGAGATATAAAAATAAAAAGCAGGTGAAGGCCAGTGTGGTGACTCAAGCCTACAATCCCAGCATTTTGGGAGGACAAGGTGGGAGGATCATTTGAGCTCAGGAGTTTGAGACCAGCCTGGGTGGGCAACATAGTGAGACCCTCATTGCTAAAAATTTAAAAATTAGCTGGGTATGTGGCACGTACCTGTGTTCTCAGCTACTCTGGAGGCTGAGGTAGGAGGATCACGTGAGCCCAGGTGGTCAGGCTACATGATCACACCACTGCACTCCAGCCTGGGTGACAGAGCAAGACCCTATCCCCAAAAACAAACAAAAAACCAGGTGGAGAGGGTGTCCAGGAAGATGTCTCCAAGGAGGTGACATGTGAGCTGAGCCTTGAATGATGTACCACAGTTATACCTGGCTAGGAGACCTGGGGTGAGAGCTTTTCAGGAAGAGGTAACTACTGTGTAAAGATCCTCAGAGAGAAACAAGCTTGGGATGTTCAAGAGATAGTGAGAAGCCCAGCACAGCTGGAGCGGCACCAGCCAGCCAGGCAGGGATGGCCCCGAGGTAAGGTCAGAGGTGGACTGGGGCCAGGCCATGTGTTTGGATTTTGTCTTGAGAGTGATGGGTAGACATTGGGAGTTTTGAATAGAGGACTGACCTGAGCTAATTTCCTTAAAATCACCTTGGGTTTGTGTGGGGAATAAATTAGGGTGACAGAAGAGGTGGTAGAGGTCACCGTATGAGCTGGCGGGAGGGAGACTGTGATGGAGGCCACGTCTGAGCCCAGGGTTATGTGTTCACATCCTTCTGGAACAGAAATGTAGGTTCACATTTTGTCATCTCTTTTTCCCCCTGTATGTCTCCCAAAGGTGGGGAAAAATATGTGAACTTTGAGTTCCATGGGCTGTTTGAAAGTCCATGCTTGCATGACCAAGAACTCTGTGATGGGGACACCATAAAGCCCAATCCTCGTCCATCTTTAATTCAAGATGTTTTCTTCTGTGGTTCATAACTTTTTTTGAAAAATAAAAATGCATGTCATGCTTAAGTTGATTGTTACAGGTTACCCTTGTTTAATGGGGGGAAAAATGAAATGAAGTTCCTAATCTCTCTCTGCCCTCTGGAAGTTGTAAGTAGAACAGAAAAACAAAAGCCTTCAGTCAGAGCTTTCTCTTAAAAATGTAAGCAGCTTGCCCGGGCTTGGTGGCTCATGCCTGTCATCACAGCACTTTGTGAAGCTGAGGCAGGAGAAGCACTTGAGGTCAGGAGTTCGAGACCAGCCTGGCCAACATAGTGAAACTCTGTCTCTACTAAAAGTACAAAAATTAGCTGGGTGTGGTGGCAGGCACCTGTAATCCCAGCTACTCAGGAGGCTGAGGCAGGAGAATCGCTTGAACCTGGAAGGCAGAGGTTGCAGTGAGCTGAGATCACACTACTGTACTCCGGCCTGGGCAACAAGAGCAAAACTCTGTCTCAAAAAAAAAAAAAAAAAAAAAATGTAAGCAGCTTTAGAATATTATCAGTGAGGTTGATTATGTTTCCAACCACGTATCGTATGCTAGCTGCCTCAAATCCTTTGGGAAGGAAATGTGGTATCAATAAAGTAAAAAGGACTGTTTTAAACTCTTGAAATAGAATAAATGATTGAAATTTATGTTTTGTTGTCAAAATCAGGAACATGTTTCTTGGTGTTGCCATGATGAATAGAAAGAGGGGCTCTGGCCTCTATCTTATTTCTCCCCCAGTGTGTCGCTGGTATTCAGGTCAGACATGTGTTTGACCTATTAGGAGTCATTTATGCATATTTATTCTCAAACATGAGCATGTGTATGAACCTAGAGCTGCATAGCTGCCTGGGCTCATCCCAGTCTCCATTTTGGCTTCCAGAGATCGAGATGGTGATCATGGAACGTAGCAAGCTCTCAGAGCTGGCCGCCAGTGCCTCCGTGCAGGAGCAGAACACCACCGACGAGGAGAAGAGTGCCGCTGCCACGTGCTCTGAGAGTGCACGGTGGAGCAGGTAGCTGCCCAGGAGACCAATGCTGAGTGCTGTCTTAGGGAAGAGGAGAGGGCTCAGTGGGGATGTTGGACCCTGGGGCCAGTCTTTTCTGTCCCTCAGCCAGACCATGCTGCCTCCCTTTCTTTCCCTGCCTCTCCAGCTCTGGCTACCCAGAGGCATAGAGATAGAGCCATCACTCAACACTATAATGCTCACTCCCTTGCAAAGAGATTTGCCAGAATAGTGCAACTCTCCCTGCTGTGCTCCCGGTGCTTTGGAGCTGGGCTCCATCTAAAGGATACGGGTGGCTTCACACTGTCTGCTCCTGGAAATGCTCTGCTGCTCCCAGGAAGCATCCCCTCAGTAGATGGGCTTGGATCTCCTGCCTGGTTCATTCCCTGCCCTGCACACACATACATATACCCCGTCTATAGGGCCTGCTTCTTGACTCGGCCCACATGAGTTAGTGTTGCCATCCACCTTTGACCTTTTGCCTGATTGTTCATTTCAGCGACAGCTATCTGTAGCTACATCTTGTTAAACCTGGGTGACCCCACATTTCCTGGAACTTTGCTATAGTACCAGCCCCTCCACAATGGGATTGGAGAGAAGGCTACTTCCAGAGTATGCTGGGAACTGGTAGGAGGGCTTCTTCATTTCAGAGTTATTTCCTTATCTCGAAGCCCCACTGCACAGGCCCCCATAACAGCCTCCTGATTAGCACTACCTTCCTGTTAATAAATGCATAACACCAGGGTTTCTCTGTCAGCCTGCAAGGCATTCACTTCCTTAGCCCCTGGGGAGGGGTCGTGAAAATACCTACACACCCCATCCTCTTTAGCAATCCAGCTTCAAGTGAAGAAGTGAAGTCCACTAATTTTTTTCTTCTACATCTTATTTTTCTCTTTACTTGGCAAATGTTTCAATGACGTAACAGATGGGATTAATTTCTATCAGATGTGCAAGGGAGCCATTTTAGTTTTGCTAAATAAAAAAACAGTGGAGTACGAAGACCTTTTAGGTTTTGCTTGACAGCAAACTCCCAAAGCTTTGAAAATTAAGGAAGTCATTCCAAACACAGAAGGTTGGGGACAACCTTGGTACAGCATTCTTTAGACTAAATAATTAAAGGCCCACAAATGACTATTAGTGGGGTGGTGCTTAAGCAAGGGAGGAGGCATCTGCTTAATAGCTCAGGCCAGGCATGGTGGCTCACACCTAGGATCCTAGCAGTTTGGAAGGGCTGAAGCGGGAGAATCACTTGAGCCAGGGAGTTTGACACTAGCCTAGGCAACATAGTGAGACCTCATCTTTACAAAAAAATTAAAAATTAGCCAGACATGGTGGCAGGCACCTGTAGCCCCAGCTACTTGAGAGGCTGAGGTGGGAGATTGCTTGAGCCAGAGAGGTCAAGGCTATAATGTGCTGTGATTGCACCACCGCACTCCAGCCTGGGCAACAGACTGAGACTGTCTCAAAAACAAAGAGTATCAGCTGATACTTTTAGGTGAGTACAGTCATGATGTGTTCAGCTCCTTAGAAACTGATAAATGGAAACAGAGAACGTATTTTTCGTGGTATAGTAGTACCGTTAGCTTTGCTAATGGAAGAGAAACACCCTGTATTCCTCCCGCCACCAAAAACAAGGGTAAAAAACAGACCAAGATGTTAGGTTGGAATATTAGGGTTGATGACTTCTTTTTTTCTGAATTTTGGTGGAGAGAAGGGTTTTCTTAGAGTTGATTGAGAGTGTTTCTTAATGCTGGGCATCTGCAAACACATGGCTTCTAATGGAAGCTGATTCAGTTGCCTTGCGTTAAGTCACTTGCAGGCCTGGGAACCTCCAGGCCAGATCTCTGCTAGACTCTGAGACTGAATGTCAGGGTAGAGACTGGCCCAGGTGGAGAGCTGCTGTCTCCTTTGCCAAGGTATCGGGTTGCAGGTTGTAAGAAACTGCCATTGCCCTCTGTCCTCCCACTTCCTGGTGGTGAGGCAGGGAGTGGGGTGGGAAGGTGGCCATGTGTTCTCTAGGATATGAATTGGATCTTGGCATTGGTCCACTTGCCCCAAGGAACGGCATAGTAAAAAGCAGACCATTTTATATTCCCCATATGTTATGGGCTCTATCTGCATTTGGAGTTAAATATAGGCCTAAGAAACTTAAAGCTTTTAAAACATTGTTTCTCTTCTTAAAAAAAAAAACTTTGAACTTATGAAAGTATGCAAAATCTTGAAGAGTGTAAAGAAAGGAAGGAAGTCTTCATGCCGCTGATATTCAGAGTCAGTGGGACTACCATTCTGGTCATTTCTTACCAGTTTTCTTCCCCCCCCCCCCCCCCCCCATGTGAGCTTTCTGGGAATTCCACCCTCCCTTCTCCCAGAAGCTTGGACCGTATCATGTCTATAATTTTTTATTCCTCCTTTTTTCCATCTAATATCAACCCTCAAGCAACCTTTTTTCACCTTATTCTACCCTGTGTAAACAAAATGCTTAATGGCTTCATGATACTTCATCTCATAAAACATGGTACTCACCCAGTTATTGGCATTTGATTATTCATATTATTCCCAAATGGAAATATAATCCAAATTTCAAGCAGCTGATTTACAAGAAAATGTTATCCCACCCTGAGTTTGGAAGTGTTCTTTCTGGATGCTTTCAGAACCCAAATCTACACATGACAAAACTATTAGCACATCCGAAAGGTGGTGCCCCATCTGGGGCTGTGGAGAAACCGGGAAGGAAGACAAATGTGCCCTTTAAGATTTTTTTTTTTTTTTTTTTTTTTAGTTTTTGTGTGTCATATGTATGTTTGAAATGTTATAAGTACATTTTTCCTACTTTTTCCTTTGCATTTTTCAATGAAACATTTTGTATCAGCGATACATGTATAGAGTCAAAAACTCAAAACTGTCTCATCGTTTTATCGTGAACACTCCCTGCGTCTCCACAGGCCCCTTTCACTCCCCATAGGCACCCAGTGTTCATTGGCACTTGGGTGTCCTTCCAGAAATTAAACATGCCCTGGGTCACTCATGAATGTGCTCTGTTCTCTTGGCCTCAACCTGGCATTCAGAAGGGGCAGCCACGACAGTCAGTCAGGGGATCAGAGCCTCTGGCCTGTGAGCCAGACCTGGGCATATTCTGTTCTCTTGGCGGTGAAGAGTCTTTTCCCGTCAGGCCCTTCATCTGGAAAGGCAGCATTTGGGGTGTGCCATTTCCGATATTTACAGCCTCTCTACAGATCTCACCCACAAAGCATCAGAGGTGAGAGACCTCACTGTCAATTCTTAGCAGTCAGAGAAAGTCAGTCCAAGAAATTGCTGGGTCAGGACCGTGCCAAAATGAAATCATGAAGTAGTGCCCTTGGAATATTTAAAATAGAAATCAAATAGCAGCCGTCATGCATTGGCAGCACCCACAGTGCCTGGCCCTGTGCTAAATGCTTTTCAGTCTTCATTAGACTTGAATCCTCACAATAACCCTGCAAGGTTGGAATCCATGCCATACAGATGGGGAAATAGGTTTTAAGTAACTTGCTCAAGGATTTGCTGAATAAGACTCAGGATTTGAACCCAGACAGTCTGGCTCCAGGGCTCACGTTCCTGAACGTGTTTGGATTGTTGTTTGTGCCTTGTTTGATAATCACCCTGTTCTGTTTCCTTCATTCTCTTGTGACACACATCACTCTGCAGTGATGTCTGTCTGTTCTCTCTCTCTACGAACTGACATGAAAGCTTTGCTGTAGGGAGTTTGTATCATTGATTCTCTGTGTCTGGAATACCTGCTGAATGACTGTTGTATGACTAGCCAGCAGTCTGTTCCTTGGTTAGTTTCCCCTCTGGATAGCAGCTTTCCCGGGAAGAGCCTGTCTCTCATTTGTCTGTGTCCTCAGTTCCTGGTGCTGGACCAGGAACATAGTTGTGTACGAAAGAGCTGTACCAAAGGCAGCTAGCACCCCATGTACAGGTTAGAGAGGGGAATTCTTCACTTATGTGCACCACAAGGCTCATGCATGCCCCTCCTGTTTTCCAGACCCTTCCTGGATATGGTGTACCACGCTCTGGACAGCCCGGATGATGATTACCACGCCCTGTTTGTGCTCTGCCTCCTCTACGCCATGTCTCATAATAAAGGTAGGCACTCTTGCCTTGCCCAGCTTCCTTGCTGGGCCCTGCGTACACATAGCATCCTTCCCTTCTGCTGCATAGAGGACAAAGAAGGGTGCTTTCTGTACAGAATTTCCTTTCTGGTTTTGGTGGTCCTTTTTGGTTTTGACACCCACTCTTCTTTAGGCTCTTTAGAATTTCTCTGGTGTTTTTCTGCCAACTGAAGCCACAGGAATTGGTTACCCCGGCAATATGGGGAAAGGTGACTTGACTGCCTAACCCAGGATGACTATACTCACCCTGTGGTTTTCTTTTGACCCCTTGATTTACAACTGACTTAACATCCGACCTCTTTCCTAACATCAAAACTGAAATCAGTCAAATTGTAATCTTGGTTTTGCTATTTATAACACTTGATATTCTTATTCTGGGTTCAGAGCTGAAATAGACGCTGGGTGGACTTTGTGGAAGCATAGGTTTCCTTTCTGAAGAAAGGTGTGGTTCTCTGGCTTCCCCTGTTGAGGGTGCATGGCCAGCATTCAACTCCCATGAGGTTGACAGGTTTTGTTAGAATTTATTCATTCACTGCCTTGATGTCCATTCCTGGGAATAGTTACAGTTGTTTGCTCCACCTGGCTTGACCTGGGCACTTTCTGAAACCTCCACATCAGAATCTCTTCAAAGAAGAATTCAAGAATATTCCTTCTAACCCCCGCCAGAGCTGGATTTGGCATAGTAAAACATCAAGTGATGTTTTAGTAGGTTTTTCGTAAGTTTATTGGGGAGTAGGTAGAGTTGGATTTTACTAAGATAGCCTATGGCTAGAGGCATTAAAACATACATGACATAACTTAAGTTTATGTGTTCTAAAATCATTAATCATGATGAATAACTTGATTGGTGGCAGAATAGTATGTAGTGAAAAAAGTCTCCCACTTTTGGCCCCCAGCTCTCCTCTTCAAAAGCAGTTCCTGCTACTGATTTCTCTTGTGTCCTTTTAAAGATAGCCAAACACACCAAGAAGGAGTGTATATGGTCTTATTAGCCATAAATGGAGGTACTCATATTGTGTCTTCTACCTTGCCCTTCTCACATCATCATGTTTCAGCACCTGGGTTTATGTCCATCCAGAGCTGCCATTCTCTTTTAACAATTTGTGAGCAAATCATAGCAAATCATAGATATTAAGGATTTTCACATCTAGGTTCATGACTGATACTAGTCTGTGGTCTTCTTGTAATTTTCGTCTGATTTTGCTCTCAGGGTTATGCTCATCTTACAGAATGAATTGAGAAATATTCTCCGCTTGATTTTTCTGGATGAATCTTTGTAGTATTATTTCTTCCTTAAATGTTCCTTAAGCTACTGCAGCCATCTGGAGTTGTCTTTGATGGAAGGTTTTTAACTACTCCATTCCTTCAGTAGTTAAGGGGCTTTTCAAGGTTATGTATTTCTTCTTGAGTGAGCTTTGGTAATTTGTGTCTTTCAAGGAGTTTGTCATTTCATTTAAACTGTCAAATTTATTGGCATAAACTTTATGATATTCCTTTATTATCTTTTTAATGTCTGTAGGATCTGTAGTGATGTTCCCGCTCAGATTCATGGTATTGATAATTTAGGTCTTCATTTTTCTTTTTCCTAATCAGTTTGGCTGGAGGATTATTAATTTTATTTCTGCCCTCTATTGTTCTGCTGTTTTTTATTTTATTGATTTCTGTTCTTAGGCTTATTTTATTTACTTTCTGCTGCTTCCAATTTAATTTACTTTTTGTTTTATAGCTTCTTATAAAGAAGCTTTAATCATTGATTTTAATCATTGATGGAAGCTTTGATCATTGATTTTTTTCAGCAAATCAACTTATTTTTTAACTAACATACCAAAAAATTAACTCATTTTAAATTTAATTCTGTGAATTTTAGGGCATGGATGGATATGTGTGAATACCACACAATCAGGAGATATTATAGTTTTATTATCAGAAAAAATATCCCTCAGGCTATTTCCTTTCTAGTCATTAATTCTTAAACCTTTCTTCTCTATGACTTTACTGCCATCAGTTTCCCTCTAAGCACTACTTTACCTGCATCCAGTAAGTTTTGACATAGGAGGTTCATTCAGCTTAAAATATTATACAATTTCCCTTCTGATTTCTTGTGTTCTTACATCTGTGTCATTTCTAGCTGTATGTCTCTTACTGGTTTTTCTCCTACTTTTGGAGTTCCTCCCCCATTTTTTGCATGCCTGGTCATTTTTGATTGGTTGACAATTACTGTGGTTTTACACACCTGAATGCTAGATTCTTCCTGTAAATATTTTTGGGCCGATGGTTAAGTTAATTGGAGTTGGTTTGATCATTTATTGGGGCTTGCTTTTCTGCTCTGTGAGAGCTGGTCCAGACAGCCTTTAGTTTAGGACTAACTTCTCCCCACTACTCAGACAATGCCCTTCTGAGACTCCACAGTGTCCCATGGTGAGGTGGTCTCTGCACACTGGCCAGCCCTGTGTGAGCTCCAGGAATTGTTCCACAGGCTTCATTCTGGCAGGTCTTTCCCTTTCTTCATATGCACGCATTGGCTAGAATTGAGCTGAGCCTCTAAAAAAACCCCTCTGCATGTGTCTGGAGCTCTCTCTCTGTAGCTCTGTTTCTCTTGTCCACAAGTTTTAGCCACTTGATCTTCCTGAACTCCAAACTCTGCCTTCTCATCTCTGAGAGACCACTGTCTTCGTCTGGGTTTTCTTTCCCTGTGCTGAGGTCTGGATACTCTCCCTGGACAGCAAGTTGGAGCAGTCACTGGGCCACTGCCTTTGTGCTTCTGTCTCTCAGGGATCTCTCTCCTGTGCTACCTGTTCATCCATAGAATGATAACCATTGTTTTGTATATATTGTCTTGCTCTCTGAGTTGCCTGAATCAGAAGGATAAATCTAATCCATCTTGGCCAGAAGCATAGCCCCTTTAAAGAAAAAGTTTTATTGATATGCAATAAACTGCATATATTTAAGGTGTACAATTTGATATTTTGACGTACGTAAATACCCATGAAATCACACCGTGATCAAGAGAGTATACAATCCAGCATCCCAAACATTTCCTCCCCTTCTCACTTGCCTCCCACACCCCTCTCCCCAAGTAACACTAATAATCTGCTTCCTGTCATTTTGGATTAGTTTGCATTTTCTAAAATTTTGCATGAGCAGTCATGCTTCATGTACTCCTCTTGGTGTGGCCTCTTTCAATCTACATAATTATTTTGAGATCCGTCATGTTGCTGTGTGTATCCGTGGTTCATTTCTTTTTATTACTGAGTAGCATTCCATTGTATGAACATACCACAGTTTATTTATTCATCTGTCCCTGGAAATTTGGGTTGTTTCCAGTTTGGGACTATGACATACAAAGCTGCTGTGAGCATTCGTGTGGCCCCATACAGTATGTGTCCATACAGAGAGCTGTATGGGCGTATACATCCTTTTTCTCTTGGATAAATACCTACAAATAGAATGGCTGAGTCATGTCTCTCATAGAATTATGGGAGGTATGTGTATGTTTGCTTTGATTTTAAAATACTGCCAAACTGTTTTCCAAGATGCCTGTATTCTTTTACCTCCCACCACCAGCGTACAGGAGTTCTGGTTCCTTTCCTTCCTTCCCAACACTTGTGTGGCCACCTTTTTAGTTTCCACTATTCGAATAGGCGTGCAGTGTTATCTTATGATCTTAATTTGCATTTTCCTAATGACATTGAACATCTTTTCATGTCTTTCTTTGGCCATAAATGTCTTCATTGGTGAAGAGTCTTTTCAAATCTTTACCTAATTTTTTAAATTGAGTTGAGTAAAGAAATTGTTGTGTTTTGAGAGTTTGGGATTTTTTTGTTTTGTTTCTTTTAAGATGGAGTCTCACTCTGTCACCCAGGCTGGAATGCAGTGGCACAGTCTTGGCTCACTATAACCTCTGCCTCCCAGGTTCAGGAAATTCTCCTGCCTCAGCTCCTGAGTAGCTGAGACTACAGGGGTGCGCCACCCCACCTGGCTAATTTTCGTATTTTTAGTAGAGATGGGGTTTCAGCATGTTGGCCAGGCTGGTCTCGAACTCCTGACTTCAGGTGATATACCCATCTCAGCCTCCAGAGTTCTTTATGTATTTTGAGAGCAAGTTCTTTATCAGAGGCGTTTTACAGTGATGTCCCCCCATCTGTGGCATGTCTTTTCATTTTCATAGCAACATCTTGGGAAGAGCAGACATTTTTTAATCTCCATGAGGTTCCTGTGGCACTTTTTTAGACCTCCTTTTCTCTGTATTTTTTGTCTCCCATTCTAGATGGCTAGGCTTTGGAAGGCAGAAACCATGTGCCCCATGTAGTACCCCTCCTACCACCTGGCAGTCAGTGCTCAGCCAGAGTTTGCTGATTGGTTGCCTCTCAGCTATGTGGCACAGCCCCAGGGCTATCTCTTCCTGGCAGCCTGTGCTCAGAGCTTCAGCAAAGAAGGTGCTGCCTGTGTGGTATAGATGCCGGGTTCCAAGGGACAGTGGGCAAGCTCCTCATCTTCTGGGTGGCTGGTGTTCTCCCTGTAGCCCTGACCTGTGCAGGGAGTGGAGATGTCATGGCTTGCCATGTGTGCTGCTGTGTGCCTTCATCCAGTCTTGTGTGCTGGAGAGACCACCCACCCGAGTTCCCACCTGGGCATCCTACCTCTTTTTCTTAGGAATTTCTTCTTAGAAGAGCAGAATCATATATTCAAGGAAATTTAATTCCTTTTTCCATTTTCTGCTAATGCTATTCATGTATTGATTCATTCATTCTTCCAACAAATATTTTGGAAGCCACTGCATCCTCAGTACTGATCCCAGCACTTGGGATAGTTCAGTACTGATCCCAGGTGTTGGGATCAGTATTGGGGCCGATCAGTATTGGGTGAACCAAACAAATACTTTCATGGAATCTGGATTCTCTTAGAGGAGACAGATAATAAACTAGTAACCAAGTAAAATTATCCCACATAGCAAGAAGTGAAACAGTGAAAATA